ACAGGGAAGAAAAGTTAAACTCTGATGTATAAATGATGCTCATGTCGTACGTTTGCCAGCAAAAATGCTCTTGAAGTAATGGAATAAGCAAAGCAAGAAAAAGTTGGTAGAATAATAATTGATGCTTCAAAGATTCCGGGGAAAGTCCAATGCTCTGAGAAAATGTCAGCTTAATATCGCGTTTTCTAGCAATAAGTCAAATCAGAGTAAGCAAGTCATCAGGCTGTACTACATGAAAACGAAGAAGTTGTTGATCATATCTGAGCTAACATGATGATAGCACTAGCGTACCCATGATTTCGGTTCGGGGGGGAGAGGGGGGGGGGTTTCGATGAAGGTTCGTGGCGTCAGCCGCACTCCGAAATTTTTTTTGGATGCTTTCCAAAATTTTCTCGGGCTCCTGACCCCAAAATTTCAAAGATAAATTTTTTTCACAATGCTAATCTGTATTTTTAAAATTTTTAAAAAATTAATTTGATTATTTAGTAAGAAATATAAGTGAATAGTGTTGAAAAACAACACAGAATCACAATGAGTATACGGAATTCAAGTCTGGTTTAGAAAAGAAGCATGAGACCTGCTGCTCGACACCCATTATGTGTTCTATCAAAAACGTTGTTTTTATATAGTGAGTTGTAGTTTGATTGAAGGTTCTACCATGCTCGTAAAACACTCTACATATGATTCAACCATTCTCTACGAATGAAGAACGAAAGGTGCTGTCAATGTCTGGGTCCTGCTGCTGTCAATTGTGCGAGGCTAAGACTGTTTCTGTTGCGGTAATCGTGAATCTTTATCGTGCTGCTTCTGTAATTTACCCCATGATTATTGGTATTCGTATACATTAATCTGTGTACCCATGACTGGAACTTGTAGTGCGTGTAGATTTCTCAAAACGGATCATTCAAACACTTCAATTGGTTTCTTTTTCATTCAAAGGCTCAAAGTTGCGTTGATAGTATAACGGAGCGTCTTGAACAAAAACGGAGATGAGTACAAAAATGACATCTTATATATAAAGCTGATGTTTGTCTGTCTGTACGTATGTTCCGAAGAGAAAATTCTATTTCTGAACCGATCCGGATCAAACTTGGCACACATACACTTCGGGGCCGGGCGGGCGTCCTAAGCTACTTTTCGTCATCAGTCGATATCGATTTTATCGATTTTATCAATTTTTTGCAAGGTTTGAGCTAAGGAGCTGGGAGTTGGCGGGGGTAATCGAGCATGCTGATTCGAATACAACATTAGTTTTTGGAATTATCCATTACTTCTACCGATTTTATCGATTTTTTTGCAAAGTTTGAGCTACGGGGCTGGGAGTTGGCACAAGCGGGTAAGTGGGCGTGCATTTGGCATTTCGAAAACGCAGAGAAGGATAAAAGAAGTGTAGAAGTGGGCACAGGGAAAGGCTGTACAGGGATATGGATGGGATCTTATTACAGTGTTTTGACAGGGCCGAGAGGAGCTGGGTAAGCAAGCTAGTTTTCAATATGTATCCTAAACTGACACCGGAGGGCATAAACTTACCGACCACAACCGCGAAGTGTAACAATTCGAAAGACAAGAGTCAAAAATTTTATCAATTTGTCCAAAAAGTTCTGCCATTTATTTTGATGAAGACTAAGATTTATTGAGAACGAAAAGCGTTGTAAGACGTATTTGATTAGCGGCGGTGTCATCTATCAAATACGCTATTTAGCTTGAATTTTTCACAAAGAAAATAACACTTTGAAATGATATTTCCGCTGCGAAGACTTTGGAAAGGCTCTTTTCCCGGTGATAGACTTGCAGAACTTGCAAACTCGGTTGAGCTCTGCGCTATACCCTTCATATTCTCAAAGCGACATTCTACTGCTAAGTGCTCAACAGGGGCTTGTCCCGTCCAAGAAATACTTTCTTGATTACGGAGTCCAAACAACTTGAAGTCCCATTTGTTATGCTGCCATCGCATTTCTTGGAAAACAGCAGAGCTATATCGCTACCTTTTCACGCACAAACTATCTCAGAGGGAGTCAACTTTGTCCAATTCCTGCCTGCGACTCTCGTCTAACATCGTAATTACCGACATCCCCTTAAAGGCAGCGTCCCACCAGACTGGGGGTACGTGGCTCTCGTAAAGATGTAATAGTAGACCCCCTACCTAAGCGATGACTGAAGTTCGGAGCGAAAAAGGGGGTCTACCAAGCCTGAAATTTGCTCCGAAAGTGGGCCGAATCTTACGGTAGGATCGGGCGAGTGCGAGGTGCACGCAAGGTAGAGACGCAGAGTTGCTGAGGGTCCCTGCACTCATGATGTATGCGCTATACGCACTCTACCCCTGCAATCGACATTGCCGTGTGGGCGGCGTTCGGCCCTACCGTAAGATTCGGCCCATTTTCGGAGCAAATTTCGGGCTTGGTAGACCCCCCTTTTTCGCTCCGAACTTCAGTCATCGCTTAGGCAGGCGGTCTAGTATCACATCATCACGAGAGCCAGGTACCCCCAGTGTGGTGGGACGCTGCCTTTAAAGGCGACGGATCGGCAAAGGGGACCCTAGCAGATTTTGGTTCAGGTTGTAGACCTCCCCCCCTCCTGCCCCCCCCCCCCTCCCCCAAGCACACTATAGCCACACCCTAAATCCGTGTACTGATTTCTGAGAATGCGCTTCAAACTTTACCAAAGACGCCCACTCGATAAGTGGCGAGGCTGGAGGAGTTTTGAAGCGCGTTTTCAGTACTACTAAGCGCATAAACTGGAGGGTGAAGGTAGAGTTACGGTGTAGTTGGGTGGTCTACTACCTAAAACTACCAAAATCTGACTAGGGTCTATTTTGCCGATCCACCGCCTTTGACCTACTATTTTACAACAGGGGTTCCTACGTTATTCTGATGGAGAAAACTTAGTCCTGACTGCCTCTTCAACCAAAGTCAAGAGTGTTCCTAGTTGTTTGACATGTTCGATCAAGAAGACGTTGTTTATCTTTGTTGGATACAGGGTCAAGCGTGTTGATGCGATCCTGGGCCCTCATTTACGACCCCCCCCCCCCTTGAAGGTACCCATCCGTACGATCCCTCCCCCCCCCCTTCCCCCCTTCCTCGCCCTCCCCCATCTATCCCCTTACCTCCTCTGCCCACATTTCTCGCGGTAACCTGCATAAACGAATGTCAATCTCAAAAAACACCTGCGTGAGAACTTCAGTGAGGTTTCGGAAGCAGAATTTCTTGGCCAATGGGTGCGCCCAGCATCTCTAGCACATATACACACCTTCAATAATGTTTGAGATTCTGCAAGTTTACTTTTGAATTTTCCGGCATACTTCAGGCCAGCAAATTCGATTCCCGTATGTGACACAAATTTTTACACGGAGAACAAAATGAAATTCTTGAACTACAAAAGATGTTTTCGACTAAGAAGCTCAGTTCTTACCTCTTCCACAGTTTTTCCTGCGAAAAAAACCACTTTAGCGCCGTCCAGAACGACGTCAAAAGCATGCATGAGCACGTTAGTTTGAAAATTCGTAACTAAGGCCAGGAAAAGACTGAGAGGCTGCAATGAACAGGTTCTGTAGCACAGTGCCCAAGCTATTCATAAAAAAAGTTTCAGCCCTTGAGGAGGAGTGAGCTCGAAAAAATTTAGATCAGGCTCTCGCAAATTTAGATGCGATCCTAGAAAGCAAAAACTGGGATTTTTGAGCTTAAAATTTTGTAACTTACCAGAGAAGTTATAAAACAGCCTGAAATTCTTACGATAAAAACTAGAGGGATGGCCTCGTATTACAGCAAGTTTGCAGCTAACGAGCTTCAATAGCTCCGGAGAAATTTAGATCAGGCGCAGATACGACCCCCCCTTTTCTCATTTTTTGCTACCATACATAAAATCATAAGAAAATCCACAGTTTATAAAATAACACCAGATTTCGCACAGCAGTAGCAGGGCTTATCTAAAGTATATATAAATTGTAAGGGCCGCATAAATGGCATTACAAAAAGATTTACCAATTATTGATTGTCATCGTTGATCTACATGTGTGCTTTTGTCGAGTGTGCAAGTCTTCAGTGAGCCTTCGAAAGCAGGATGTCTACACCATTCGGTACATCCAACATCTTTATCACATATACATACTTTTAGTAGCATTTGAGCTTCTGAAAGTGTTTATTTTCTGGATTTTAGACATACCAGCAGGGTCCGATCCCCGTTTGAGACAATATTTTGCGGGAGAAATAGCAGTTCCCACAAAAAAAAAAGACCTAAATCATAATCTTTTAAAAGTGCAGCAAATGAAGCGAATTTCTAAACTTGCAAATGTTTTCAAATTGTTGTTCACTCGTTTTTATTCGATACATTGGTACACGGCATTCCATGAATTTATTGTTAAGAACATGTACTAATTACTTGCTATTTGATTTGCTTTCAATCGTACGGTTTTTTATCCAAACTACCCCCTCTTACGACCCCCCCCCCTCACCGTAGGCCCCCTTTACGACCCCCGTTGAGACAGTCGCATCACACGCTTGACCCTGGTTGGATAGTTATTTTAAGGCTGAGACTCGTGAAAATCGCGATTGAGGGAATTCCACAACTAGCTGGCCTTCTGGAACAGCTGAGTCAGCTGCTTGAAATGTCAGTCTTCAGCTGCTTGAAATGTCAAAAAAGTGCTTTTTGGCGTTTTACGGCCTTAGAGATTGCTGGAGAGGCGGGGCGAGGGATTCCCGTCAACTGTATCGCATTGGTTGCCTGGGCTGATCAGCCAATTGCTGTCAAAATGGGTGAAATCACAGTATCCTGCAGTCACTCGCTGGTTAGGCGGGAGAACCCCTCGCCCCGCCTTTCCAGCAATTTCTGCAAGGCCGGTAAACACCAAAAACACTAACACCAACACTTTTTTGACAATTCAAGTACAGTACCTGACTCAGCTGTGGGAGGGCCATGTAGTCGTCAAAAGCCCTTAGTCGCGAATTCCCGAGCCACTGCCTCTAAGAATGCATGGCAAATGTACAGTGTCCATCAAGTAACATCAACGCATAGATATTCTTTCCATAAATATAAGGAAATGTGAAGAAAATTTCATAGCAGAGCATTACAAAATACGATGTGCTCTATTACTTTAAGGTATAACAAACTGCTTAGCCAGATTCTCGAAGATGGTCTGTATAATTTGTTTGCCAAATCTGTTGAAATGATTTCCTTCATCAAGATACATGAGGTTCGTACTAGAATTGTAGCCGAGATAGTGCCCTTTCTCATCAGCAAGCACTGGCATGTAATCAATTATCTCACACTTTCTGCACCTGAAACGACTTTTTGAAACGATTACGGAAAAGCAGTATTGGGTTAGCAAAACTACCTTTTGGTTAGTTCCCATATTCGATATCGAGCAAAGAACTCATCTCTTACGATAAGACCTTCCTAAAAGTATTTCGACATTTAGCGTTGAAGTAGTCACATTTCTGCTGATTCTTGAACAAACTTTCTTCTGACATACATATATCAAGTAGTTAGAGTCATTAATTGTTTCTGATCTATGGCGTACAGAGCCTTACGGTATATCTTGTTGCTAAGCCCGCTTTTTTCTGCATTTTTGCACAAGTGCTCGAATTCTGCGAGTTAAAATAGGCATCAGCACTGCAGCATTAGCATTTCCCAAACGATGGATCAGTTAACAGACAATTTAGTAAGAGGATGTTGTGTGATGAACTAAATTAAGATAAGTACTAGCTGGCGTACTTAACTAGGCCAAATCCTGTCAAAGTAGGGATTACCATTTCTATTCTATACATGCCGCTCCCTGTTTTTCCTTACGCTTTCGTAATCAGACATGCTCACCTCATCACTTGCCTAAGTTGTAAAAAATCAATCAATTTGTTGAATACTATCGGTATTTTCGGTACATATTAATGCTACATTCTTTACAACCATGCTCTATTGTGTCAACCCCCAGCCCTAGCACAATGTTTACAGAAAACTGTCATTTACAAAAGTGATCGAATTTCAAAAATCAATCTGTACTCGTAATTAGGATGCTCATCTACCTCCCTGAGCCAACTCAGCCTACTAGATCAGAATTTCCATAAATCGATGCCATAATGAAAAGTAGCAGTTAGCAACCTCCCCTCACCGAAGTATGTGTTAAGTGGTTGGTCAAGATCGTTCCAGAAACGAAGTTCTAGATATTATTTATACTAGCTGGCTTACCCGGCTCCGCCCGACCCTGTCAAAACACTATGATAAAGCTCTCATCCCTATTTCTGCCAATCTTTCCCTGGGCCCACTTCTACATGCAAGTTTCCTATTCCCGCTGTGTTAGCAATCAGCATGCTCACCCCACCCCCTGTGCCAAATCCACCCTGATTGAGTGACTGAGTGCGCTGATTGAGTTACGATTTTCCTGATAAATGCCAAGATAAATCAAATTCGCCCTTTTGTATTGCTTGCTCAAAAATCATAACTTTTCATAGATACGCTCAATCGGAAGCTTTGCACTGTTAAAAAGAGCTGGTGAAAGAACCTACAATACCGATTGCTGCGATATTTGTTGCAGGTTTCCGATTTTTCATGACCACAGAAATTTCGAGATTTGGCTAATTTTATGCTATCGCTTCTATCTATGTAATGTACACTCAAGAGACAGTCGCTAAGGTAATTCTAGGAAGAGAATGAATTGCTCTTTTAGATAAAAATAAATACATGCAAATCGGCTGGAAGAACCGGGAGGTCACGAACTTTTGAAAATCGTAGGCAAGAACTTTCGGGACAACCTAGTATACACCATAGTGTCCCAAAAGTATGTACACATTGTTTAAGCGTTAATATCTCTTTTCCCAAAAAGTTTCTTGCCCACCTTCAAAAACGATTTTGTAGAGCTGGGTTCAACTTAGATTCACAGTATGGAGCGAATCATGGATCGCCCTTCATTACTGTAAGATTACAGTAGGAATTTTCAGCTCACAGCGTCATTACGGATTTACCGAATTTCAAAAAAAGTTCCAAAAAAACCTGAAAAGTTGTGTACTAGAGTTTTCAAGCTCGATGATTTCACTATTTAACTTTTTACGAGTTTGCAAACCTTTCAAAATGGTGTACTCACGATTTCATGGAGTTTTGTAATAACAGCTACTGCGGTCTACCTAGCATAACTTATGAAGGAAGCATTGCAGTAAAGCGCAAACATTAAATCTGGTTTTAACAAATTGAGTTGACCTAGTATAAAGTTCTCTAATTGTTCGGTTTGCTTTTTGAGCCGAAAAAGGGCCCTTGATTGCTCACAACCCTGCTTGAAATTTCTACCGTAATCGTACAGTAATGGAGAGCGGCCGATGATTTGCTCCATACTGTAAATCTAAGTTGAAGCTAGCTCTAAAAAGTGTGCCTAGAAGTAGGCAAAAGACTTCTTGTAAAAAAGGTGTATCAGCAATCAAACAGTGTATACATACTCTTGGGACACCCTGTACACATACAGGGTGTCTCAAAAAAATGTTAACACTGTTTGATCGTTAATAACTCCGTTGCTTTCATGTCCGCCGAGCTTTAGGCACCATTTTGTAAAGGAGGCCTCAACTTAGATTTACAGTATTGATCGGTTCACCGATCGCTCTTCGTTACGGTAGGATTATGAATTTGTAGTGTGGATCCATTGTGAAATATGCCATCTGACAAAAAAAATTTCGAAAAATCTGAAAAATCGTGTACTAGAATTTTCGCACACGCTGATTCTACAGGGTGGGTCAAAAGTTTGGGAGCCTACTTTGCAGCGCTGTGAATCAAGAAACTACTGATGATTTTGAATTTAAATTTGTGCCACATATTGCTGCGATCATTCTCTACAAATAACACTTAATCTGGCTGAGAATGCTCGCCATATGTTTTTGTAGGAGTTGGATTTCAGACAAGTGCTCTGCAAAGCGAGAAAAACAATTTTTTTGGTCTTCACTACTTATTTCCTAGCTAAAGATATACTAAATTTTCTAGAGCACTTCGATGAATATAATGTAGAGAAGACCTTGCGCTATCAAATCGTAGTCATTGCGTTTGTTAGATACTATTCTTTCGAAACGCAAGATAAAAATTGGCGAATACCACAGTACTCTGCGTTGATACCACTGCTT